GATATTGCGTGTAGCTTTGGAGGAACCGGTGTCAAAACCAACAAGAATCCAAGTAAGTTTTCTAGGGTTATTTTTATGATCAAGGGCGTTTTTGTCTTTTTGCATAGACGAGAGACCGTCGTCCTATCTTGTTCCACCTTTTTATGTTTGGGGCGGAAAGTTGCGAAATGTTGTAGGGTTATTTATGATGATAAGGATGAGGAAGGGCATTTATGTCTTTTCACACTCGTTCCACCTTTTTATGTTTGGGGCGAGAAGTTGTGAAATGTTGTAGGGTTATTTATGATGATAAGGATGAGGAAGGGCATTTATATCTTTTCACACTTGTTCCACCTTTTAATGTTTGGGGCGAAAAGATGTAGGGTTATTTCTGACGATAAGGATGAGGAAGGGCATTTATGTCATTTCGCACTCAGAGGAACTAGTCATTGTCCTCTTTTGTTTGGACGACAGGGACATTTACGTCTTTTTGCATAAACGAGAGATATATAACTAGGGCTAGTGGACAAAAAGAAAATGCAAATTTTGTCTGACGCATGTCAATTCTGTCTGTCCAATCCATGTCAAACACAGTAAAATAAATGATTATATAATTAACGATGATTTTTGTGTGGACAGGTTACGACAGTTGCTTGTACATGACAGCCGGGTATGTAAAATCATCAAATCGCTATCAAACATCGATTTATTTATTTATTTATTTTTAAATTTATACATCGGTTCTTTCTTTATTAAATAAGGAAACACTGATATATAGCTTACCAGATTAAGTAATGTTTGCAGGGGTAAGAAAGCTGCCACGAGCAATGTGACCGCAAATGCAACTTCATGGGGGCAAAAAGGGTATTCGGTTCCTAGTCGTTATTATTATTGTCTACTTGTGATCCTTTTTGTGTTGACCAAATTAAGTGATGTGTAATAGACATTGTGTTTGTGGTATGTATTGAGGAGATTCCCTAGTTTTGTATGATAAGGGGGTAGTAGAGGTAGTGGTGTATGGTTAAGTTAGCTAAATGTTGTAAACATGTACTATCAAATGTATCAATGTCCATTTTGCCACGTCAACTATTTTCTGTATTTTGATTGCTAGTATGATTTAATTGGATATATTAGTATTGGAGTAATGTAAAGCATATTTTAAATTTATTAAATTTGTTGATAGAAATTGTAGATCAAGGAGGGTGGATGAGGGGTCACATCTACAATTAATAAGATGCAAGATTTTTGTCGACTTGTATGTTGGTTAACAACTAGACTTGATAAATTAAAAATAATAGAATATTTTTTAATCTTACTAATTGTTTGGATTTTACACGAAAAACTTAGATTGATAGATTACTATTCTTGGGGTGTGTTCGGCATCTAATCTTTAGGAGCTTCAATCTTTTCGTTTTTAAGAAAAAAAATTAGAAACATTTAGCTTTTAGATAAAACTAAAAAACTTTAAAATTTAAAATTTTATAATTTTGCAATTGATTTAATCTTTTTAAAATTAATGATGTGTTTTAGATAAATCATTTGATATAATTTTTTTTATATGTTTAAAAGATTCCAGCTGTTTCTACCGAATATTTATATACAAATAAAAACTACAGCTTCCGATTAGTTTTGATGAATATGCATTTGCTATTCATTTTATTTATTTGGCCATACCAACCACAACTTTGTCATAAAACGTTAGGAATTGATAATAACAATTTATTTTAAATAAATTCCTATTTTAGGTAGGATATTCACCAAATTGTGTGAGATGATTCAAAGTATATTGCCTACAATGAACAAAAAATAAATGGTTCTATGTTACATAATAAATACATCGCATAAGATAAAATGATAGACCTAAAATATGTTGTTAATGTGTGTAATCAAGCCTAACATAATTTTCCTTAGTCCTCAAAGAAAAAGAATAACCATTTTATGTTTGAAGAAGCCTTGTGAAATTTTGACATTTTCTTCATAGTCTCGATCGACTTCTAATGGTAATTTGTTTTGATATCTCAAGTGAAACCATTTCTTCCAAATTCCAACGCATTTCCATCTACTTTTAGATTTTCCCTATCCATCGAATCCAACAAACTTGACTCTTTTCAGATTACGAGTCAAGATTCTCATTGTTTCAGCTTCATCCAACTTATTAGCCTAATTAAGCATGATTTTTTCTTGGATTAAATAAAACTTAATGGTCAAAAATTTTCGGCCTTGAGCTATTGGGTTTTTCTCTATTATATTAAAATGTTTTTTAATCCACTTAATTATGGATTTTTTTTAATTGTTAAACTAACTTATTAGTTCTTAGTAAATGAATATGACAAGTTTTTAGACAAGTATTTTCAGTTATTGACAGTTGATAATTGTTACATGAAAATTTAATAGATTTTGAGAGAGTCATAAACATTATACACCACACATATTCATGCAAGTATGTTTTTTGGATCATAAAGGGAGCATCGCCATTTCGACAAAATAAAGAACTCTTGATTAGATTGTTGAATCCTTCAGACAGACCCTTATTAGGGTTAGGACATTGCATTTGCAGCCTCAATATGTACCTATTTCAATGTGTAATATCAGGGGCGTCTCGTTGATTTTGAGGCTCTGTGCGAAAAATTAAAATTAGACCTCTAAACATAATTTCTTTTTATATGTAAACCAAATTCACTAATATTACAATAAGTTGATAATTGTTAGAAAAAAAAATTAAAAAAAAAGAACGATAATACAGAATCTAATATTACATAGTTACATGTATCGCGATGCTTTCATAGCATTTTTAGAAACAAATTCACCAATTCTTCATAATAAAAACTCCTAATATATTGTTCTCAATAGCTATAATTTCCAAGCCATTAAGTTTTTATTGTGACATTGTGGACCATAAAAAGGACATTAACAACTTTAATTTTAAGTAACAATAGTTACTAAAATAGTCATCTCTTGATAGACTTAGTATTTTCAATTAGAAAGAACTTTGTCAACAAAATTTAACTCAAGATAAAGTTCAGTGACGTCAATATATGATCGTTCATCATACTTAAATGAAGCTTCAAAACAGATACAACACAACTTAAGATTTTTGTCATCATATTCTTCAATTTTTCTGGAAATCAAAAAACCAAAATTCTTTTTATACTTATTGTATTGTTCAAATCTTGTTTTAAAAGAAGTCACACTTCCAATTGAGACAATCAAACACACAAGCCACCATAGAAGTCAATCACTTCTGAAATTATACACGATAACCGAGCATCAAATTTCTTAGAAAATCGATTCTAGTTTTTAAAATTGAAACAATCAGTTAATCAACAATATGAAATTGAACGCCAAGAGTGATTTTGAAATGAGTGGTCTTATTTGGATTTTGAAACTTACAATTTTGATTTATAAATCAGATGGTGCACTGATTTTGAAATGAGTGGTCTTATTTGGATTTTGAAACTTACAATTTTGATTTATAAATCAGATGGTGCACTGATTTTGAAACAATCAGTTAATCAATAGTCCAACACACACATACACACACACAGACACACACACACACTCGACGACTTTGCGTGTTCAAGAAAATGTGTGTCGTCGTAGCGACTTCCTATTTGGATAGGCGAGAATCACAAGGTGAACCAACTTTAGTCTAGTGACGATACATTTGGATCAAATTTGGTTTTAAGCCTAGATTACTAGTCTACTATAACGAATCGCCTGTAAAAATTAAAAATTAGGCCCCTTTACAGTATGGGTCATGTGCGGTCACTCATCTCACACATCCTCAAAGACGTCCATGTGTATCCATATTTAAATATATTTCTAACTGATTTTGTTTTATAATTTAATAAGTATTCTGTTTTTTTACTGGTTTTGTAATAACTTTATTGAATTTATACTTCTTTAATAACAACATATATTTCCTACAATAATACCACAATAACCGATTCCAGTTTTTCTGCAAGCTCCGAAACACTAGTTTTTGGAAAGACATCTAAAAATCACCACGATTGAGATATTCATAAAAACCCGGTTAACATCATGCTCTTGAACGTTGGATTTTTTTTATTATTCTTTTAACGACAAATCTAATCTACTCATTAATTTCATCTATGTCTACAACGACGACTTGAACCCCCGACCTTAAGAAGAAAGACAACATCTGATACCACTATACTAGAAATCTTTTGGTCCTTAAATGTTGGAAAAATTTAAAAAGTTGAACCTTTAACAAAGTAGTATATAAAATTCAAATCCTCAAGGTTTTATTTAATTTAGTAAACCAGTCACATGAATCATCATAGGGTAATTATAACACTATTCAACTCAAGAAACCTAACTACCTGAAACCTCTGCAATTTTCGAGGACGTTTGAACAAGAGTCTTTCATTCCTCCAACCTAAGGGAAAAACATCAAGTCAAATAGTTTGATATTGGCGTGAATCCAATGTCTGATACTCATTTGTTGTTGTTGTTGTTGTTTTTTTTTAATTTTATCATTTTACCAGTTATCTATTGCTAATTACATTTCATGTTTTTGCCCATTTTCGAGTTTCGCATCATGGACAGTGCAATAGGCCCATAAATGTAAGCCCACAGTAAAGCCCAATACACTATGTGCAATTTTCTTTATAAAAGAGATTCAAAAATAACTCAAAAGACATCCAAAATAACTTCATTACTTTTTTCATAGTTCTTTGTTGGAGATTTATAGCAGAGATTCAATGACAAAACTTAATACTTCAGACCAAAGGTTTGGAACTATAGTTTATATTTAGCCTTAAATATAATTTTTTCTAGGTTTTTTTATTTGGTGTAAAAAAAAATAGGTTTGAAAGTTGATGCTAATGTACGTTTTATCTTTCCAAAAGCAGATGGTTGTTTAATGTTTATCACCTTTTAAGACGAAGTATTTAACTAAATGGACTTGTGAAATGGTAAAAAAATGATAATAAGGGGGAATAAACTAATAAAAGCATAAAAAGCAAACAAAAATATGAGATTATAATAATAGTACATTCAAAAAAAAAAAAAAAAAATCCACCAAAACAAGTATCACACTTAAATCATGATGAGGGTAACACCACTAGAAGTTTAATCAATCTTCATATACTGTCACACCTTAGTTACTCACGTATCATTTCCCTCCTGTAATTACCATCATTAGTCACATTAACCAAAATAATAATAATAATAATAAAATAAATCATCTGGATTTTTTTAATGAAGAAATTGAAATATATAAATTAAAACATACCAAAGCAAACTAGAAACCCTGCTCCACAAGGTAATCACCAAGCCTTTCAACAATCAAGTTGCATTGACCAGGAGTCATTGGCTCATCATAGATCCCAATGATCAAAGCCATTCCGGTTTTCTTAATTGTAACTCCTCCTGGTCCCTGGAATTGGAATCGGAATTGGAATTGGAATTGGAATCACAACCATTTAATAGAGAAAGACATTGACAAAAATTATGACTTAACATTTGTGATTAAGGTCAATACTGTACTTTGAATAAACGACCCAATATAATCTTTTTTCTCATTGAGGCGTTTATTATTTCAAAAATCTATCAAATGAGTAGATTTTTCAAAATAAAATGTTGCAATATGAAACAAATAAACTCAAGTACTGATGTTGCAACAAGAAGACTATAAAAAAAGATTTGGATTTGTGTAAATTAATCACCTTTTTGCCTCGAATAACAACTCCTGATTCGCCTTGAATCACCATGTACTTGGTCCCACCAATGTGTAATCCAGTTGGGGCAAGTGTGCCAGGCTCATTGAAGTCATTGATGATACCAGTTACTTCCTCTGGCTTCACCTGTTTCATCACCCACAGAGATATAGATTATCAGTGATTCAGTTCAATAAACAAAGATCTGGAGTTGAAAAGGAAGAAATAAGCTTATGAATTGCACTCAAGAGTAAAGAAGTATTGGTTGATTTGGTAGACAAAAAGAAATAGTAAGTTTTCTTTTTTTTCATTGAAACTTACTCAGATCTAAAACCTTTATATCCTTCAAACGAGATCAATCGTTAAAGTGAAGTTTATATCTATCCATGGATCAGTGACTAAAAACTAGGTCTAAAGTTAGTTATTCGAAAGCTCAAAAGAAGCTATCATATGCAAGTTGAGCACTAGATTGCAAAGATCGACACAGTATGCCCTAACAGCAATGAACCACTTATAATTCTAGAAACTGAAACTACAAAGCGATTGCTGCCATCGCATCATGGATCGATAAGCCAGATCAACGACTCAACTACTTGAAACAAATCGATTGAACTTGAAAAACTCGACGAATCTGAATGAAAGGACTTGAAACTTCAGAAATCGACACTATAAAACGATTGTAACCAACGCATCAACGATCGGTAAATCAGATAAATGAATTAGCCGCTCAAAACACAACGATTCAACACGGAAAACTCAACAAATCTAAATTCAGATTCAGGCAGTATCGATATGTATCAGATCCGCATAGTTTTTGTGATTGAGCAAATCAATTGACGTAAAACTTATGTAATGAGCAAATGAATTGAAGAATAATGAAAATTATACATATATTGGTGGATTGGAAATGAACCTGAGGGAAACTGGCGGATTGAGCCCAGATACTGCCGTCATGGCCGAGGATAGCGGCAGCAGAGAGGTGGTTGCCTTCGATCTCGCACATCAAGTGGTCATCGACGTAAGCTTGCCACGACATGTTATCCGATTATCTCTCGATCTCTCTTGGTCGACTTCCGAATTTTTCTGTCGTTGAATGCGCTTCAGCAGAAATCGTTGGGACGGAGATAAATAATTAAAATATAGCGTGGAAACAACGAAAATGCGGTGTGCAATTATGAATTTCCACATAAAAGCTGATCACCACCTCTTGTGAATTGACATTCATACCCCTATCTTTTGATCTTTTATTTTTGAAAAATTTACAAAAATATCCTATCTCTTTATGACTTAACAAAAATGGCTAAAAGTTACGATTTATCCAAAAATAGCCAACGAAAACACAGATGAGTCTTAGATGACATATCGCTATCTGCGGTTTTTTCAAGTCGTCTGCACATATATACAAGTAATTGATGCACTGCATTAAAGACTTATACCATTACAGATGGTCATTTTATCTACGGTTTCATTCTTCAATTTTTTTTTTTTGATTTTAAAAAAATTCTTACACGTTACTTCTAAATATCAACGTATATGATAAAAAACTATCTATAAGATCACTTAAAATATTATTTTACGGAACTTATTCTTTTAATCATCAAAGAGACAATTCTCGTATCCTTAGTGTGAAAAATAAGTTAGATTTTTTTTAGAGTTTAAATATATTGGATTAATGGACCAAGAAACGTGTACATGGGCCATGATACTGCAATCCATCTGACGAACCTTCGACAAGTTACCATGTCAAATGACAAAACCGCAAACGAGTTGACGAACCCGCATATAAGTTGACGAAAACGTAGACTTTTAGTTTCATATGTGGTTCTGATGGTTATTTTTGGCTAAGTCATTAATAAATTATGTTATTTTTCTAATTTTCTCTTTATTTTGACAAAATTACACAATTGATTCACTTAGTTCATGAGAACTAACATGATGATAACAAATATCAAAACTTCTCGTGATTTTATTTTCTTGCATGGTTGTCATTGTAGGTTTATTTTGTTTCGAAATTGACATGAAGTTACTCCTTTACTCTCATTTGATTGTTTATCAATTTTTATTTCTATTTCATTTTACAATAAACTAATATTTATTAAAAATAAGTCTGCCTCACCCTCATCCTAACCTTAAAACATACCACATTTTCCCTTTTTCTCTCTAAATAACTTTTATCTCATCCTCTTATTTCTTTGTAAAAAACATATGACATCCCGATGTCAATGTAATTTCATTTTCAACCCTATGTTTGAATAATATTGCATTTTGACCATTAGGTTTGAGGAAGGTGCTAGATTGGCTCATAGTGGCAATATAGTAATTTTGACCAGGATTCGTATATCGAGCGTACGTTGTGTACACAAGGCGTACTAGGGCGTGCCCTATTACGTTGGGCGTACACCTCGTACGCGGGGCGCACATGAAGAAAGTGAAAACCCTAAGTTTTAGGGTTTGATCCATATATAAACACCATTATAGCCTCATTTCTCATTACTTCATCAACACCCCTCTATGAAAAATGACCCCAAGCAAATCCTAAGTGAGAAGAGTGCATTTTGGGCCTACTTGAGTGTTTTGGAGGTGTTCTTAAAGAAGAATAAAGTGGTGATAAGAGCTTGGAGCTTGGAAGCATCTTGGATCTAAGATTATATTCTTGTTAGCAACCTCCAGGAGGTATAAATTCCACAACTTGATCACCCATCTTGTAGATCTAGACATTTCTTCCATTAAGATACTTTTTGTCCCAAATATGGTGCTTCTTGAGCATGATTTGTTCTTGACCCAATAGGTCATCCTTTCAGACCTTAGGAGGGGCCTTAAGTCATAAAAATGTGGTATTGATGGTTAGTTTTGCTCCATGAATGTAACATAATGTCTTAAGGCATTATGATGTTGAGATTTTGTTTATTAAGTACTTAATGGGCATGCAAAGTCATAAAGTTGGAAACTTTATGACTTTTGAGGGTATTTTGGCTTTCGATCTGCGTTAGAACGTGAAGATTTGGAGTATTAAGCTCTTAATGGGGAAAGAACTAGACAAGGTGCATACGTTGGGCGTACCAAATGGTATGATGCACGGATGCAATTAACGTCCCGTAGTTTGGTCAACCACTAAGTACGCCCCGCGTATAGAGGAGTACACCCAACGTGTTGACTGGTCGACTCGGTTGGGTTGGCTCGGCTAGGTGTTGACTTGACTTCTGATTATTAACCAAGTTTGACCAATGGAATTTTGGGGAAAATATTATTAATGGATAATGTTTTGACATTTAGGATTTGGGTTGAGCAGGTATTTGGGAGCAAAGTATTGATCAGCTATTCATCAGATTATGAGATGAGTTTTCCTCACTGTACTTACGGGTCGAAGGCACCAAGGTCGGACCATTGAATTGATATCATGTTATACATTGATTTATGATATGTTGAGTATGTGATAGATCTGTATGATTATATGATAGTTGTTGATATACATAGACCGACAGATCTGTAGGACTACTTATGATCTCTGGTTGTACGATTTTCTATATGTTGAATATGTTTGTTATATGTTATATGTCAATATATTGTGTTGGGTTGATACTTTACTGCTATGTGCATGAGTTAACAGACCGAGGGTATTCCAGTCTAATGACTACGTGGACCCGAGTGTATTCCAGCCTGATGACTGAGTGGGACATCTGTATATTGGTATTCCAGTCCGATGACTGAGTGAGTCTGTTATATGTTGCATTCCAGTATGATGATTGATTGGGCCATGGGTAATCCAGCTCGATGGCTGTGGACCCGTGGGTATTCCAGTCCGATGACTGATTGGACCTAGCAAGCTTGTTTGTATATGATATATGTATTGTGTGGTGGTACTTTGGGGGAACTCACTAAGCTTTGGCTTACAGTTTTTAGTTATGGTTTCAGGCACTTCAAAGGATCGTGGCAAGGAGAAGGTACGACCATACACATCCTGATTTTATGTTGTTGATATTGGGAGACTATGATTTTAAATAATATTTTGGAAACAATGGTTTTGTAAACATTTTTATTAGTAAATGGGTTGTTTTGAAATATTAAAATTGGTTGTGATTCTGAGATGTTACAAATTGGTATCAGAGTCTTAGTTTGAGAAAATTGGAGGAACATCCATATGAATCCAATCTCAAACTAAGAAACTGCGAAGGTTTTAAAAATGATTTTCAAAATTGTTTAAAAAAATCAAGAAAGGATGTGATGTGTACGATCAGATGGAGTCAGTAAGTAGATCCCAAGTACCACACTGTTATTTGATATTATGTTATGTTAGAACAACATGCAAGTGATAGGTTAAGGACCTTTAGGAATTACTTGATAGAATTCCCTAATTATATGATGCATGATAGCCTAGGGTTCTTCCTTATATGAAATTGACATCATTACTGTAGTTGCTTAGTGTATGCATCAAAATTGTACATAACTAAGATTTTATAGCCTGAAAATGTTTGATTTGGCCTTATTTTATGTTCCTTGTTTGGTTGTGGGATTTGAGTAGAATCAAGTATTCAACTATCTATAGGATCCAATGTTATGTATGGTTAGCATACACGAGTGCTGCATGGTTGGTGGAAGTTTCATGAATGAGTTATATAGGGTTAGCCAACCAGTCGAGGGATGTCTAGCCTTTATCTAGGAAGTGAGAATAGGGTGTATGCATATTCTAGTGAGTGTTGTAAGAGTTGTTGTGATGATCTTCTGAGACAAATACGGTTAGGTGTGGAAGGTAGTATGGGCTCGTACTACTGGAAGCACAAGACCTGTACGTGTAGCAGGAAAGTCACAACCCCTAGGGTTTTGTTGGGGAATGGTTCCTATGGTATGATATACGTTTTATTTAATATCTATTTGGTTTTTTTAGTATGGTGTTCACGAGGGGATCTAGATCAGAAGCGAGTGGCCAGGATATGCCAGGATTGACCGAGGATCAGGTCAGGAAGATGATTCATGTTGAGGTCATTTCTATTATCCAGGGGAAGATACTAGAATTGTTTGGGTCTATCAATATTGTAATGATGGATTTTTTTGATGATCGATATGTTGCACTTTCAGACGTTGATGCCACCGTGGTCGTTGCTGCTACAAGGATTAGAGGGAAGGGGGGGGGGGAGCCTTCCAGTATTGGGACTTCAACAAAACAAAGCCCCCGGTGTTTGATGGAGTTCAGGATCCAATCATTTCCATCAGGTGGCTGTCAGATGTTGAAAGATGTTTCTTTACTTTCTCCTCCCCAGCTGAACAGAGGGTCAAGTGTTGGATTAGTGTCTAAGTCCATAACTATAATTGGTATATACTTGACCCGACCCGGCATGGTCCATTTGGGTTGCATGGCATCGGAACATTTGGGTAGACCTTTTAATGAGAAGAAGATATTTGTGACATATTAATATTTATAAGTTCTAATATATTAATATGAGATCATGTTAGTATTGATCAAGAATTAATTTTGTGATCAAAAAGAGACTAATTAAATATATGGGGAGTGATTGTGTAAATCATTGATTCTTATATATGTGGGCTTATGATCCATGATTCCTTATGTTGGGTTTAACCCATGTGGTGGACCATGGATACTCCATGGAGGTTAAAACCCATGGAGCATAAGGAATGGGTAAATTCATAGGTTACATGGTATAACCCTAATAGTCACACTATATAAAGACCCCATTGGTTTGAGAATTAGCACTAGTGCATAGCATAGAGGGCAAGCCAATTTCTATGAACTCATATCTTCTCTCATGGTTATTCCAAATGTTCATGGTGTTGTGTGAACCATTTGAGGTGTCAAACTCGGGGCACTAGGCTCTTGAGTTCCATGAAATCAAGCACCAACAAAGAGGTATGTAACTATACTATTTTTATATTACTTGTACTTCATAATATGCTAGTTAGGATAATACATTGGAAAAATTGATATTTGCATGTATAATAGAGAAAACATAGATCCAAGATATTTAGGGTTGCATGTACACCATAGGAGTGTTAGAATTCTCAAAACCCATTAGTGGTATCAGAGCCTAGGCTTGTTTTCACTTATACTTGATGCAAACTGTAACGCCCGTAGATCTGGGCTAGTCAATTTAGAGGTAATAGGGGTCGAAAATGACTTTTCGACAAAAGATTATTTAGAATAAATAATCTTAACCAAGTTGTATAATATGTCACAAGGTTTCCGTACATATA